GAGAGAGAGGAGAGAGGAGAGAGAAGAGAGGAGAGAGGAGAGAGGAGAGAGGAGAGAGGAGAGAGAAGAGAGAGAAGAGAGAAGAGAGAAAAGAGAAAGGAAAGGAAAGGAAAGGAAAGGAAAGATGCTTATTTTCCAAAGTACCTGTGCAAGGCCAGGGAGATAGCTCAGTGGCTTAAGTGCCTGCCTGGCAAGGGCAAGGTCCCCAGTTTGATCCCCAGTGAGTTAGTTCCCCACCTAAACAAACCAAAGAGCACCTTTGCACTGTTTTAAATTTCCGTCAGCTACAGAAGAGAACGTCCCATCATCCCACACGCTTGTCAACACTTCTTCTCTCTTATGCTACTGACCTATTGGGTCTAAAGCAGTACTTCATTAGGGTCATATGCTTTTCCCTGGTGGATAGTAACGTTTAATATCCTTCCTTATATTTACTGTCCATTTGTTTATCTTCCTTGAACGAATACCTATTTACAATCTTTGCCTATTTTTCACTAGGTTCTCTTTTTACTATTGAGTTGCGTACTATTTTTGTTCAGTTTTGGTTTTTTGAGACAGCTTCCCAGCATAGCCCAGGCCAGCCTTGAACTTGCAGTCCTGCTGTCTCGTCTCCCAAGTGGCTGGGATGACAGGCCTGCACCACTGTCCCCCTTCTAATAGGTCTTCTTCGGATTCTTCAGGATTGTCTATAATCTGTCACCGGTAAAACAGTTCTCCTTCCTTTCCTATTGGGATATTTTATTTTCCTGTACAAACGCTCTAACTCGACTCTCCAGAACCGTGCTCAACATAAACGTTAAAAATGGATGTCTTTGTCTTTTCCTGATCTTATGAGGAGAGCAAGAAGTGACAGACAAGTTTTTACTCCTATCTCGCGGAGCTGGACGAACTGTTCCACACGACCTCTCCACCTCCACCACCCTCGTCTGGCACATCCTCCTCCCATAACCCACAGATATTTCCCAGTTTTCAAAAGACCCAAACTGTCACCCTCTGCTTAGGCGATTCAAATAATAAAGTACAACACTGACACTGGAGTCTCTGCAGTCACAGCCCCCACCTCTGTGACACTAGCAAGTTCTCTAACCTTCCTGCACATGAAATACAAGCTAAGAGGGTGAAAGAGTTTGTTTCTGAGAGACAAAGAGCCAGGCTTAAAACTATCAAGCTCTGAAACCCACCTCTGTGCAGTGTTTCTAGCTACTGCTGGCTCCTTTGTGGGACTACAAACCTAGACTCTCCTGGCCTTAAAATCCTGTGTGCGCATATACCCCTTGGATCACATCCAGATCCTCAGCAAGATGAGACCCTCCAGAACCTGGCCCCACACTCTGCGTGGTAAGTGCTGGGCTACACACTCAGCCAGCCACTCAGTTCCCAAGCTAGGGGACATGCTGAGGAGGGACAAGGGCAGTGCTAAAGAATGCCACGCGCGCAGCGGCCCTGGAACGGTGCACACAGGACTGCTGAGTCCGCTCTTCGTCTAGCCTCACGCCTAGCCTGTGCTCCCGTATCTCCTCACGCACAAGCGCCTTCACACATGCTGTTTCCTCTGTGTGCACACCGGATCCTTCTCCTGCAGATCTCAGCCTAAATGCTACTTTCCCAAGGACGCCTTCCACCTCTGCCCCACCAACACTGTCACCTCCCCAAGGCCAGATGCTCTGTGTCCCCACAGTGCCCTGAGCTCCCCCAGCACACATCTCCATGGCTCTAGGATGGCAGGAGGGATCATGTTGATCTTCCCAACAGTAGTAACTCCCAGGGCCTGGCAGCACCTACAAAGTGTTCAGTGTGGGGCATAAAGAGAAACCCAGAGGAACGGGAGGAGCAGCCTTCTGCCTCACAACAAAAGGCTCTTCTAATGAGGTCTCACTTTCCACCTCCGCTCCTGTGAGCCCGTGAGAATGTTAACTGCTGCACTGAGGGCTGGAGATACAATGCTCATGCTATAGGTTTTTAAATTCTATTTTTCTTTTCCTTTTCCTTTTCCTTTTTTTTTTTTTTTTTTTGTACTGGGAATCAAAATCAGGACCTTGCGCTTGCCAGGCAGGCACTTGTGCCATTGAGCTATATCCCTGGCCCTAAATTCTTCATAATAAACCTGGGGGAAAAATAAAGATAACTCTGCCTTCATTCCTAGTCCTACCTTCCTCGTGGAATATTATTTAGTTACAGGACACTCAGTGATAACTTGTCATAGTAACTCTGCCACCATATGATGGCAATGTCGTATGACAGTAGTCTGTTGGCAGTGTAAGAAAATAATAAAGAACCATTAGGGTCAGCTTATAGGACACAAGAAACTCTGGCAATGGCCAGGTCCTCATTTCATCAAAATGCTGGGATTCATCAACTTCCTTGGGAGCCTTTCCTCTAGGCAAGGAGAAGTGGTGCTTGTGGTGGAGAACAGGAAGAAGAAAAAGATGCTGGACAGGGCAACAAGCTGCAAAGGAGCACGGAGCCAAGATGAGTCGAGGTAGGGGAGCTGAGTTACACGGATCCAGCCTACTTTCATGCAGGTAGAGCAGCCAATCACCACCTGGCCACATGTGCTCAATTCCACAGCAACGGAACTTGCATGACAGAACCTTGTGGACAATAAAGAAACAGCACCTATTCATGACAGCTATTCCCAAAGGGCTGTGCAATCATAAACAGTTCTAGAAAAACAACTGGCAAGGACATTAAGTTTTTGAAGTTTAGAAGATGAAGACCCCTCACTAGCTGTCCCCTCTGTCCCCTGCTGCACACCACTCCTGAGGGAAAGAACCGTCACATCAGGGCAGCTGACCTAAGGCTCTGACACTTGCCATTACCTCTTGCTGCTTCTCCTCATTGGGGTAGGTGTCTACAAATACTCCCAGCCCCACAAATTTGTCCATGTTTCCAAACACAGGCCCTAGAGAGAAAGAACAGATGATGAACAATGAGATAACGCCAAGAGTCGATAAAAGAATACTAGCTCCCTGTGATGAAGGCAAGGCGAGATTCAATGGCTCCTGGGCCTCTCTTAGGATGAGAACACACAGGTAAAGGCACCTGGCAAAGTGTGGGCCTGTAACCAGGGTCCAGTCACCAGCTGGAGCTGTTTGCAGTGGAAGGCGGGAAAAGAGAAAAGGCTACTGCGATCCCACTACAGTATCTCTCTGATCCTAATGGGTCGCTAAGGAGCCCCTGCAGAATTATGCTTCACAGATACTCCATGCAGATTGTGTCCCCAAGAGAAAACTGAACACCCAGGTTCTACTTCTTGCTACAAAAGATAGCAGGTCAAATCAAGCTGAGTCTGACAGCTACCCAGAGCAAGGATCCCACACAAGAGAAAATACCTAACTCTTCTGTCACTCAGAGTGCTGAGACTGCTCACTGGCTGTGTCCAGAAGAAACCAGCTCACCAGTGCTCAGGAGAGCCAGGGCTTCACCCAGCCACCAGGCCAAGTTTCATGGGGAAACTTGGGTGGAACTTAGGAGCAAGGAATCGCCCCATGTGAGTCACACTCGGCTGGACCCAGACCCCACACTAGAGACTCGACAGGCCATGTTCATCGACAGACATCGAGGGAGAGGGAAAACCCTTCTCTGCAAGAGGGCACAGAAAAAGCAGGCCCACCACCCTCACACATGAGCAACGCAGGCTCCCCGGTACCTGGCTGCATCCGATCCTTTGTGTACCAGATTGCAAGGCCGTCACCATGCAGGTTCTTCTTGCCCTGACCGTGGATCCTGAAGTGCACCTGCAACTCCCAGTCTCTCAGGAAACATGGCTGCAGTGAGAGGAACTGGGGTCAATGAGGAGCAGGAAAGCAGGACCCCCCCAGCCCTCGACGGCTCCCCACAGACCCGGAAAACGTAAATGCAGGCTTAAGGCTAAGGCTGAAGACCGAAACCTCAGATTTGTGACGTGTTTAGTCATAATATTAAACAGACTGAGCCAGTCAACCATTGAAGACATTTCCCATGAGAAGTGAATAAAAAGCCCAATTATTTTCAACATCTCTCAGCAGAAACATGACAGGACTCCACTGATGGAAAGGGCAGGAGAGGCCCCCATGATCCTACAGCTATCCAGAAAAGTCTCAGTCTCCTCAGTACACAAGGCTGGATTAATCCTCATTTGCAATTTAAGATCACTGCTCTGCCAGAAAGACTCTAAAAGGCTAGGATTTAAAGAAAGGTCAAAGTCTTATTCTCAAAAAAAGAGTAAGAAAAGCTAAGCCATTATGCCGAGGTTTCCAAGAATGATTAGCAGATGCTATAAACAGCTCTAATTCACTGAACCTGGCCCTCTGCCTAGGCGAGGGGCAAGCCGGAGCTCTCAGGAAGAGGACATGTCACAGTGCCCCAGACCCTCAAAACATCCCAGGAAGCACAATGTGCCAGAGGTGACAAGCACACCTCTGTGGAAACATTAGGAGGTGGGTACTAATCAGACTACTATTTCTCTTTTTGAACAGAGAACTTGTAAAAACAGAGGAGGAGGTAAGTGACTAAGTGTTCTGAATAGTTTAACAGTTTTAAGGAGACTGAAGGAGGCTCCTGGTTAAAGTCCACCGTGAAGAAAGCAGGTAAGAAGCACATAGGCCAGCTGGATTCAGCTAAACACTCTCCAAATAAATTGTTCCAGCTCTTTGGAAATGTACTGCGTGATCATTTTTCACTTTTCATTTTGAGTTTCTGGGCTATTTTCCAAAAGCATTAGAGGAATACAAAGTGAAAACGGAAAGGGAGCTGGGTACTTCTGCTTATAGCAAGGAACCTGGAGATCTCCAACAGCTTAGCCTCCTCGGATGAGCCCAGTCCCCGTCTCGTCATTTTGGGGCTTTATCCTCCTGCTATTTCATTTGGACTCCCTAGCAAGGTGAAGTTCAGTGGCCAAACGCTGTCCCACAGCCATGAGGTAGCTGTGAAGCCACAGGAAGACGGCAGAGCCAGTTAAGGTCAGACTGCCTCAACAGGCATTTGTCTCAAGACAGCACAAGGCTCTGCGGTTTTCCTCAGCGCTGTGACTAATAGTGGCTCTAACACTTCGTTGCATCAAACTCCATAGGGAGCTTTTAAGTCCCAAGAGCCAGGTGCACCCTCTTCCAATTACATGGCAAGCTCTGGAGATGGGACCCAGGTGTCAATACCAACAGCAGCCAAACTTAACCACTGTCCAAACAAATGAGTCCCACAAATAACTCAGAGACAGCCCCACAGCTCTTTCTGATGGCCAGCGAGCAGAGAACAGAGGTATCAGAGAATCTGGAAAAGGGCAAGAGCACTAGACCTGAGGCTAGAATTGCTGCTTAGAGACAGCTACTAAGATAGCAGCAAAGTCTGAAGTCTTGGATATAATTGCTTAATTCCACCCCCAAGAGTCTCATCAAGGAAACCTGTAACAGGTGAAATGACAGTGCATATTTCCCTTCGCCATTTTAACTTTCCAGTCTTTTCATGTCTGTTCTTATTATATTCTCACAACAACCCAGGTGGGCAAGTAGAAGAGGTCTTAGGAAGCTCACGGGAAAGATGGAGAAAGGGAAAGCGCAGGCAAAGACAACCTGCTCAGGGCCCGGGGCGTGCCCAGAAAGAGACGGACTTAGAAGCCTCGTCTTTCAACTGCCCTTTACATCTGCTGCCGAGCTCTGCACTCTGTCCAAAATCGAGCTTGGCACTACAATCTGGGTTACGGGGCCAGTTTGTGCGGAGAGCTCCCAGGGAAACTTCCCTAGCTTCTGAGCTCCTTGAGAATTCTCTGCTTCAGAAAAGGAACAAGGGAAAAGAAGGAGTTCTCTTTTCTGAGGTTCACTCATCTACAACCAATGAGAAGATCCATGTAAAAGATTTTTTCTTTACTCATGGGAGCCAGAAAGTACCAAAGGAGGTCAAACAATCCCCCAAAGTAACACGGTCATAAAAGGTTTAGAAAGAGCCCTGGAAACTAAACAGAAAGCCTCGTCTTACACTTGTACAAAATCACAGTACAACACACCAGGAATGGTGCAGCATTCACTTCTTGTCTCAAGGAAGACAATGCAGCCAGCAAAAGTCCAGAGAAGGATAAAGATGACAAACAGCTCAGTGATTTTTCATATGGAAAAAAACCCTTTTTTAAGATAGGGTTCACATGTACTTCAGGTTGGCCCTGAACTATTCAGCCCAGGCTGGCCTTGAGCTCCCAGAAATAACCCTTCTGCCTCGGCCTTGCAAGAAGCTGGGGCTACGGGTGTGTTCTACCTTGAAGGCTCTAGTCTTTCACTTTATAAAAAAATATAATAATTAAAACAGAAATATGCCATTAAACCTAGCAAACAGCACTATTGAGCCAATCAGGAATTAAAGACATTTCTGAAAATAGCTTCAAAATGAATTGTTTGCTATACTTAGGGCAATGCAGAGCATTTCCTTAAGTATCTGATTTCTCTATTAAAAACATTACCTATGATTTCTGAAGTAAAGATCCCTGGTATTGATTAAAAAAAAAAACCAAAAAACAGAATACTAAAAACAGACAGTAAAAGTAATCAATATGCCACCACTGAACTTTTTCACAACAATCTGGGGCTGTCAGCAACACAGGAGGTAAAAAATCCTTCTTACCACCCGGTTCCACAAGGCCCCCTGTTTACTCTGCATATCTGGGGTGAGGCGGATGTACTGGGTCATCACCATGGCATTGCCCATCAGATTCCACAGCGAGGAGCTGCCCGTGCCCACACCTAAAGGGAGGAAGTAGCTCAATTCAAATCCTTCAACACCAACCCGTTCAAAGACCTACCACGGATCCTCTAAGACTTGGAACCATTCTTTCTTACCCTTTCATGTCACTCAATTCAGTCACCTACCTTCAGTCACACATTTTTTTTTTTTTTAAAGGAGTCTCATTATGTTGCCCAGGCTGGCCTTGAGCCTCTGGGCTCAAGCGTTCCTCTAGCCTCAGTCTTCCAGGCAATCAAAACTACAATCACATGGATAAGTCTGGCTACACATAAATCTTTTTGTTTCGTATTTTGAGACAGGGTCTCCCTGTGTAATTGGGCTATCCTTGAACTTAGCCTCCTGCCTCAGCCTCCTGAGGGCTAGGAATACGGAACTGCACCAGCATGACTCTTAAATCTCAAATTCTTACCATCTTTACAGCTTCTCTTCACAAGGCTATGTGAGGTGAAGACCCCACAGTACCTCAGAGCTATCACTTCGTGCAAGCTGCAGTAACAATAGCTCAGATCTACTCCCATTTTATGAGTGAACTTTTTAGCACTATGGAAGAAAAAAAAAAAAACCTCCATTATAGCAAAAAAAGCTTGGCCCTTGGGCCTGTTGGCTTAATTCTTTAATGCTTTAAGCTATGTCTTTTCATCCCCAGACTATAAACTCCTACAGGGGAAAGTTACTGTTTGACCTGCAGTATGACCAGCACTTGGGAGGCAATGTAGCTGCTGGATGAATAAATGATGTTCCCATATCCACACTTCAGAGGGGAAGATTGCATGTGTAAGCCATCTCACTGACTTGTACCATTCCTACTTTCTGGTCATTAAGCTGTGCACAGTAGGGTCCTGTGACGGATAAACACTGCAAAGTTAACCAGCCTTTTTCATTACTACAGATCCTGGCCAGAAGAGCAGTACTGTAACCAGCAACAGAATTTTAATCTTTCTCAGTCTGGTCAAGTTCTACCCCAGTTCTACCTCGTTTTATTTCGGACACACACAGCTACATTGCGATCCTGGCTCAGGGCTGGGAGCTTCCACTCACTCCCCACAGTCCCCACTCCTGCCCACACGGCTGTCGCCCACTCGGAGCTTCCAAAGTAGCTCCTATCGCAGGTGGCATCGGAGCACCCAGCCTCGAACTACTGGAAACTTCGAGGACTGGAGAAGAGGAGGGGGCGGATCCCTGTCCTTCGCATCTGGGGTGCTCAAACGTGGGTCCCTATGCCCCCGGCCGTTTCCTCTGGGCGGAGAAGTCACGGGCATCCACTACGTCCACCAAGGAAAACAGGTCGCGAAGCCCCCCTCCCGGACGACCACCTCGCCCCGGGCGCCTCACCCTGGTAGGGCTTCGACAGCGAGTGTTCCCGTTTCAAGTACTCGAACGCCTGACCCGCCCCGACGTGCCGAGGCCCCTGCCCAGACCCCAGCAAAAGAAGAAGGAGCAACATCCTGGACCCCTCCCTAGCCGACCAACGCCGCCGCCAGCGCTGCCACCAGCCCGAGGAGCAGAGAGACACCGCCATCTTTCCCACCGCTGTTCCTTCATCAGAAGCCCGCCCCTTCGCCCAACCCATTGGCCCGCAAGACCATCTTCCTCGCCTCCCATTGGCTCTTGTTGAGAACCCGCCTCCACAGGTGAGTATCTCACCGATTGGCTGTCTTGCGTATCAGTTGCCTTGCCAACGCAGGGAAGGACCCTGGCCGAAAGTCCCGACTCCCTTATTTGCATTTGCCCTGGGCTTTACTAGGCCTGCTGGGTTAGTAGTGATTTCTATATTTAAAGAGATAAAACCTTTCTTACAGTCCCAAGCAAATGTTCTATGGTCTGTGCCCTAGTACCTTCCTGACCGTACGGAATTTATCAGTTCGAGGATATAGAACTAGAAGAAGAGCTGGGAAGATAGCACAGCGGTCTAAGTGCCTGCTTGGCAAGCGCAAGGACCCCCATCCCCCGGTACCGCACGGTGAGACAGGAAGATCACTAGGAGTCTGCGCTGCGTAGCGAGACCCTGTACCAAATAAATAAAATAAAATAAAAAGATTTAGACCTGGAAGGAGAAATAGACAAATCCACAAGTACAGTAGCTGGAAAAAAGTAAAATTTATGAAATGATTTGAGCAGCACCATCAACCAACTTGACCTGATGACGTTTATAGAAACTCCACCCAACAGCAGAACATTCTTTTTAATACAAACAAAAGATATGCCCAGAAATGTGGGGCGATAAAACAGATCACAAATGGGAAAAAATTGAGAGCACACAAGTAATTCAGCATCAACTCCATGCCTTCCTTCGCATCCCTCCTTTGCTGTTTCTCTGGAGTCACCACTACCTGTGCCTCCAGGCTGGTCTGGGTCTCTGTTCTCCCAAGGTCACCAACGTGATCTCAGCTATCTAAACATGGTGCATGTCAGGGTTAAATGAGATAATATTGGTAAACCCTTAGCTGAGCCCCTGGTATGTGGTAAACACATTCCATCCTCATCATTGTTATTAACAGGACAACCTTTGATGGATTGCTGTCATCTTCTCAGAGGAGACTCAAGTCCCTCAACTTGGCATGCGAAACCTCTCCACCCTGCCCTCAGCTCCCTTCCTCCACTCTGAATTTTCGGCTTCCTGGCTGGCTTCCTCAATTCCTCTTTTTTTCCAGCAGCCCACTTCCTCCTGGAGGCTTTCCACGACTCTCAGGCCAGATCTGTGCCAGTCTCAGCTCTGCATGTGCTCCACACACATCTCTGACGCAACTGTCGTCAGATCTGTGTCTATGGCTTCTACACAGACTTCACCTAAGTCAACTCTGTTGGGCCAGGGCTGTATCTCAGTGACAAGGTGCTTTCCCAGCATGCAAAGGCCCCCGGTTCAATCTCCAGTACATCCCACAAGCACACACACTCTCTCACACACAAATGCACACATCAATTCTTTGTTTCTTGAGCAAAAGTATATCTAATAGGAGAAGCATAATATAAATGTGTTGTGCAGGAGATCAACTTTTGAAGCTATTAATCCCATTAATCTTTTACTCCGTCTACACAAAGCAGATGTATGGTGATAGGACATGAAGAATTACAGTAAATCTATTCATGCATGCAGATGCTGGCTTTATAGCTATTCGTGGGCCTGAATTACCACAGCATAAAAGCCAGTCTCCTTAGAGAAGCATTCAAAGCCATTCCCAACCTGACTCAAATCAGGCTGTACACACATCTATTACATGTGTCACTGGAATTGTGTAGCTCAATTAACAGACTATGCATTTGTCTTCCCGTGGAGGCTGGGAGCACCTGGCCACAGGAGGCAGGCCTTACTCATTTCCTATACCTGAGCTCAAGCCCTAACCCATTACTAGTACATAGCAGGGGTTGGAAGTATTTCAAAGAATTATTTCCACAGTATTTCTGTCAGAGAGAGAGAGAGAGAGAGAGAGAGAGAGAGAGAGAGAGAGAGAGAGAGAGGTGTTAAGAAAGTTACCATCTATTTATTTGTACAGGGATTGAACTCAGGACCTTGTGCTTGCCAGGCAGGCACTTATGCCACTGAACTATCTCCCCGGCCCGAAAGTTACCATTTAAATCTTTGGGTTTTTTGCGTTGCTGAGGATGAAGGGAAAGGCTTCCTGCACACTAGACGGGTGCTCTACCATTGCAGTTCACTTTCAGCACCCCCTTTTCCTCTTCTTTGGGATAACAAGAATGGAATCCAGGGAGGGTCTACAACTGAGCTACATTCCCATCCTTTTTAATTTTAATTAATTATAGAT